AAAAAAAAAAAAAAATCTATGAACAGTTCTGGCAAGACAGTGGAACAGGCAAACTAGCTACATAGATCTGCTGCAACAAAGCAGTAAGAAACCAATTGAAATCGATACAGGCAATGATCCTGGAACCCTGAGCTTTGAAGGCAAGGATAAAAAAGTAGATTAAAGACCAAACAGTAGAAGAACCTGAATGAGAACAGTAAGGAGACAAACAGAGCTGTGGACTGCTGGTCATCTGATATATTTTGAATATCTGCAAGCAATATTCCCAGTAGCAACCTTAGAATTGGCTCTGCTCACCAAGGACATGGGCAAGGACTACATTGGTGCATGACAACCAGAAAGGAAAATTTAACGAAATGAGAATAAGCAGACAAACAGACTTGTGGACTGCCGGCTGTCCTGAGGATGCAGCCATTTTAAATATTTGCGAGTGGGGTTTCCATTTTGAATATATGCAAGTGGCGTTCTGACCTGGACAGTGACCGAATAGGTTCTGCTTGCCGAGGACATCTTGGGCATCCACACTGGATGCTGATGACTAGAGAGGTGTGATATTCCCCTTGTTACTCTTATATGCCATACCTTCTTGGTGAACAAAGGTGGGGCTGTCCCCTGCCTCTACCCACCTTCTTGACCAGCAGGAATTCCATCCCAGTCTGTGTCCTGACACAGCCTGGGTGCCTTTCCAGCCTCCCACAGTTTTCTTCCATTTTGTTTCTCTTTGCCTTCTCGTTTTTTTTTTTTTTTTTTTTTTTTTGCCCCCTTCCCTTTCTTTTTCCTGGTTCCCTTCTTTTTTCTTTCTCCTGGTTCTTCCCATCCTTTGTTTTCCCATTTTTTCTTTACTATTCTTTTATACTTGCTCTTTTCTATCATTCCCCCTCCCCAGATATTGTGTTTTTTTCTTCATTATCTTTCGTCTTTTTTTAAAAAAATATATTTGAAACATTTTCTTCTCATTTATTACCTTTCGTTTTTATGCAATTGTCCCTGTTGGTTTATGAAGTTTGAGTTTTTTGTTCCTTTGTTTTTATTTTTTTTGGTTTTATTTATTTATTGTCTAACTGAATGGGAGACAGCAACTGTTCCCACACAACCCAACCACACCTGCACCTCCTGCAGCCCCACCCTCTGAGTAAGGGTCACTACTTGCTTTTGTACCAACTGACCAACAACAGATGGCAGCCAATACCAATTCAACTCTCCCTTAACTGCTCTTTATGAACAGCTAACAGAGATCTGTACACACATTCTCATTCTATAACACACCCATCAATAAAATGCAACACACTGCCGTGGAGTCGGATCCAACTCATAGTGACTCCCCCTTGGGTTTCCGAGGCATTATCACTACAGAAGAGACTGCCCAACCTTCCTTCCGAGGAGTGGCTGGTGGGTTTGAACTGCCAGTCTTCTGGTTAGCAGTCAAATGCCTTATGCACTACACCACCAGAGCTCCCAACACAGCTATCAGGAAACAAAAATAGACTAGCAATCAAAGGCTGGAAAAATATATGTCAAGTAAATCAAACCAAACCAAACTCATGCCATTGAGTTGGATCTGACTCACAGTGACCCCTCCTTGGGTTTCTGAGGCAGTCTCACTACAGAAGTAGATTGCCCAACCTTCCTTCTGAGGTGTGGCTGGTTAGCAGTCAAATGCCTTAGGCACTACGCCACCAGAGCTCCTACAGTAAGTAAATGGCAATCAAAAATGAGCACGAGTGCCAATAGTAATTGCTCATAAAATAGATTTTAATACAAAAACCACTGTAAGAGACAAGGAAAGACATTATATAATGATTAAAGGATCCTTGAACAAAAGAACATAAGAATAAATATCTACGCACCCAATAAAAAAGCACAAAATGCAACCACTGCCATGGAGTCAGATCCGACTCATAGCGACCCCTCCTTGGGTTTCCCAGGCTGTATGGCTACGGAAGTAGATTGCCCAACCCTCCTTCCGAGGAGTGGCTGGTGGGTTTGAACAGCCAGCCTTCTGGTTAGCAGTCAAATGCCTTAGGTACCCTGCCACCAGAGCTCCCAACGCACCCAATGAAAGAGCACCCACAATACATACAGCAGATTTTAACAGAATTGAAAAGGCAAATAGATGACTCCACGGTAATAGTAGAAGACTTTAATACCAACTTGACGTTATAGACATCTACAGAGCACCTTACCCAACAACAGCACAATATGCATTCTTTTCCAGTGCACATTCTCCAGGATAGACCATATGTCAGGCCACAAAGCAAGCCTCAATAAATTTAAAAACACTGAAATACTGCAAAGCATCTTCTCAGATCACAAGGCTATAAAATTGGAAATCAACACTAGAAAGACCAATGGAAAAAAAACAAACATGTGGAAACTGAGTAACACCCTTCTCAAAAATGACTAGGTAATAAAAGAAATAAAAAAAGAAATAAAAAAATTCTTTGAATCAAACGAGAATGAAAACACAACATACCAAAATCTTTGGGACACAGTAAAAGCAGTAATCAGAAGGCAATTTATAGCAATAGAGGGGACACATCAAAAAAGAATAAAGAGCCAAAATTAACACCTTAAACCATTATCTCCAACAATTAGAAAAAGAGTGGCAAAAAATGGCTATAGTCACCAGAAGAAATAATAAAGATATGAGCAGAAATAAATGAAATAGAAAACAGAAAAGACAATACAAAAAAATCAGTAAGACAAGAAGTTGGTTCTTTGAAAAGGCTAATAATATCGACAAACCAATGGCAAACTTAACAAAGGAAAAGGAGGAGAAGATGAAAACAAAACGAGTAAGAAATGAAATAGGTGACATCACAACAGAACTAACAAAAATAAAGAGTATCAGGATACTATAATAGTGGCTAAGACACCTGCCTGCTAACCAGACGGCTGGCGGTTCAAACCCACCAGCCACTCCTCGGAAGGAAGGTTGGGCAATCCTACTTCCGTAGTGATACTGCCTCGGAAACCCAAGGAGGGGTCGCTATGAGTCGGGTTTGACTCGACCGCACATAACAACAACAACATAAACAACTATACGGACATACTGCCCCCTAGAGCCAGGAAAGGGAGGGAGCAGGACCTTCAGAGCGGCAGGATATCCAGGTAAAAAGGGGAGGGAGGCAAGGCTAGGCCCCAAGCTCCCAAGTCCCTAGAACCAGGAAATAGAGGGAGAAGGAGAGGCTGGGGACATCTGGAGTGGCAGGATATCCAGGTAAAAAAGATCAGGAGGCAAGGCTAGGCTCCAAGCTCCCTAGAGCCAGGGAAGGGAGGGAGTGGCCCAGGACCACAAAGTGGCAGGTCCAGATAGCAATTATGTAAGGGAGGGCACAGAAGTTTCCAACAGCTAAGGGAGACAAACTTGTCTATCAGTGTGTCATCCTCTGGGGCTTGTACGTTGCTGTGAGGCTTGAGGCTCTGCCACTGGTGTTTCATATACCAGCAGAGTTGCACATGGTGCACAGGTTTCAACACAACTTATAGACTAAGACAAACTAGGAAGGAGGAGGCCATCCACTTCTCAAAAATTGACCAGGGCAAACCTTATGAATAGCAGAGAAACACTGTCTGATACATTACTGGGCAACTTTATGAATAGCTCAGAAACACTGTCTGACACAGTGCAGGAAGAGGAGCCCCTTGGGTTGGAAGGCACTCAAAATAGGACTGGGAAAGAGCTGCCTCATCAGAGTAGAACCAACCTTAATGATACAGATAAAGTAAGTCTTTCAGGACCTCCATGTGCTGACACGGCACGACTCAAATTGAGGAGAAACAGCTGCAAACATCCATTAATAATCGGAACATGGAATGTACAAAGTATGAATCTAGGAAAACTGGAAGTTGTCAAAAATGAAATGAAATGCATAAAGATTGATATCCTAGGAATTAGTGAGCTAACATGGGCCTATTTTGGCCATTTTGAATCAGAGACCATATGATTTACGATGCTGGGAATGAGAGTTTGAAGAGGAATGGCATGGCACCTGGTCATCACAAAGGATGTTTCAAGATCTGTCCTGAAGTAAGATGCTGTCAGTGATAGGATAATATACATACACCTATGAGGAAGACCCGTTAATATGATTATTATTCAAATTTACGCACCAACCACCAAAGCCAAAGATGAGGAAATTGAAGATTTTATCAACATCTGCAGTCTGAAATTGACCGAACATGCAATCAGGATGTGCTGCTTATCATTGGTGACTGGAATGCAAAAGTTGGAGACAAAGAAGAATCACTGGTAGCTGGAAAATCTGGCCTTGGTGACAGAAATAATGTTGGAGATAGCATGATAGAATTTTGCAAGACCAAGGACCTATTCACTGCAAATACCTTTTTTCAACAACACAAACAGTGGCTATATACGTGGACTTCATCAGATGGAGTACACAGGAATCAGACTGACTATATCTGTGGTAACAGGAGATGGAAAAGTTCAATATCTTCAGCCAAAACAAAGCCAAGAGCTGATTGTGGAACAGACTATCAACTGCTCATATGCAAGTTCAACTTGAAGTTGAAAACAATTAAAACAAGTCCACGGGAGCTGAAATATGACCTTGAATATATCCCTCCTGAATTTAGAGACCATCTAAAGAATAGATTTGATGCACTGAACACCAATGACCGAAAACGAGAAGAATTGTGGGATGACATCAAGAACATCATCCATGAAGAAAGCAAGAGGTCATTAAAAATATGAGAAAGAAAGAAAAGACCAAAATGGATGTCAGAAGACTCTGAAACCTGCCCTTGAGTGAAGAGTAGCCAAAGCAAATGGAAGAAATGACAATATAAAAGAGCTGAACAGAAGATTTCAAAGAGCAGCTCAAGCAGACAAAGCCAATTACTATAATGAAATGTGCAAAAACCTGGAGTTAGAAAACCAAAAGGGAAGAACACTCTTAGCATTTCTCAAACTTAAAGAACTGAGGAAAAAATTTAAGCCTCAAGTTACAATATTGAAAGATTCTATGGGCAAAATATTGAATGATGCAGCAAGCATCAAAAGAAGATGGAAGGAATACACAGTCACTATACCAAAAAAACTAGTTGATCTTCATCCATTTCAGGAGGTGATGTTCAAGAATCAATGGTATTGAAGGAAGAAGTCAAAGCTGCACTGAAAGAACTGGTGAAGAACAAGCCTCCAGGAATTGATGGAATACCCATTGAATTGTTTCAAGAAACTGATGCCCTGCTGGAGGCACTCACTCAGTTATGCCAAGAGATTTGGAAGACAGCTACCAAGCCAACTGACTGGAAGAGATCAATATTTATACCCACTTCAAAGAAAGGTGATCCCAAAGAATGTGGAAATTATCAAACAATATCATTAATATTGCATGCAAGTAAAATCTTACTGAAGATAATTCAAAGAGTTGCAGTATATTGAAAGAGAACTTCCAGAAATGCAAGCTGGATTCAGAAGAGGATGTATAATGAGAGGTATCAATTGCTGATGTCAGATGGATCTTAGCTCAAAGCAAAGAATACCAGAAAGATGTTTACTTGTATTTTATTGACTATGCAAAAGCATTTGATTGTGTGGGTCAAAACAAATTGTGCATAACATTGAGAAGAATGGGAATTCCAGAACACTTAATTGTACTGATGAGGAATCAGTGCATAGACCAGGAGGGTGTCGTTCAAACAGATAAAGGGAACTAACTCTACATGGTTTGAAATCAAGACGGGAGTGCATCAGGGTTGTATCCTTTCATCATACTTATTCAATCTGTATGCTGAGTAAATAATCCAAGAAGCTGGACTATATGAAGAAGAACGCAGCATTAGGAGCAGAGGAAGAATCATTGTCAACCTGCGATATGCTGACGATACAACTTTGCTTGCTGAAAATGAGGATGACTTGAATTACTTACTGCTGAAGATTGAAGAATACAATCTGCAGTATAGATTACATCTCAATATACAGAAAACAAAAATCCTCACAACTGGTCATATAAGCAACATTATGATAAATGGAGAAAAGATTGAAATTGTCAAAGACTTCACATTGCTTGGTTCTACAATCAATGCCAATGGAAGCAGCAGTCAGGACATCAAATGATGTATAGCACTGGGCAAATCAGCTGCAAAGGACCTGTTTCAAGTGCTAAAGAGCAAAGATGTCTCCTTGAGGACTAAGGTGCTTCTGACATAAGCAATGGTATTTTCAATCGCCTCATATACATGTGAGAGCTGGATAATGAATAAGGAAGACCTAAGAAGAGTTGATGCTTTTGAGTTGTGATGCTTTTGAGTTGCTGTTATTATGTGCCGTCGAGTTGGCCCTGACTCATAGCGACCTCTCCTTGGGTTTCCAAGGCAGTATCACTACAGAAGTAGATTGCTTAACCTTCCTTCTGAGGAGTGGCTGGTGGGTTTGAACTGTGAGCCCTCTGGTTAGCAGTCAAGTGCCTTAGACACTATGCTACCAGAGCTCCTAATACCTGTCCATAGATCAAAGAATAAGGAAATACACTTATTTATTAATTACAGAACTCAAGGTGAGTATTCTTATCAAAGGACACATTCACATAGAATTTGGAAAGCTCTTACTGACCCAGATGCCTAAAATTAATGTTACTAATTATTGTTGCTGCAAAAGACCTCTTTAAATTGTTAAAGAGCAAAGATGTCACTTTGAAGACTAAGGTGTGCGTGACCCAAGCCATGGTATTTTCAATAGCCTCACAGGCGTGTGAGAGCTAGATAATGAAAAAGGGAGACTACAGAAGAAATAATGTATTTGAACTGTGATGTTAGTGAATAATATTGAATATACCATGGACTGCTAGAAAAATAACAAATCTGTCTTAGAAGAAGTAGAGCTGAAATGTTCCTCAGAATTGAGGATGGCAAGACTTCACCTCCTCTACTCAGGACACATTACATTATCAGGTGGGACCAGCCCCTAGAGAAGGACATAATGCTTGCTAAAATAGATGTTCAGCAAAAGAGGAAGACCCTCAATGAGATAGACTGACATAGTGGCTCCAAAACAGGCTCAAGTATAGCAATGATTGTGAGGATGGTGCAGGACCAGGCAGTGTTTCATTCTGTTGTACATGAGGTGGCTGAGTTGATACTTAGTCAATGGCACTTAACAACAAATTCCCTGAAAGATAAAACATAGAAAAGAATTTTTAAAAATCTACTCCCTCCCTGAAGAAAACGTATTTCCCATAATTTTTTTAATTAGAACTTGAAATGATCTTGGTTAAAAAGATTATTTTTTTCTATTTTTTTTGGAAGCAATTTATTTTCAGATCAACCATTAATTACCCAAGCTTTTCTACCAACGGAAGCACTGAGGTGAACTTGTTCAAAGTGTTTTTTTCTGCGTGGAGAGTACAAGCTGTACAACAACTCTGCAGCATGTGATTCAGGCACTGTGTTCTTGCATCTGATCCCCTCAGAGAAGCATCCAGGGCCGATGGTGCACGACACTCAATGTGTGATAACAAAGCATGGTTCCTGTCAATGATGGACTAAGCCACGTTTCTTGGAAAAGGGGAACAGCTATTGACAAAGATGACAGTAAAATGAAAACAATGTGCACTGTAGCTTGTTCATCAGAAAATGATGCAGAAATGAAAGATCAACCGAATTCAGACTGAGCTCAGCTTTATCACCTCTCCGGGCATGACCTGGACAAGTCACTTCCCTACACCTCCTCCCCACATCTGTGAAATACCAATGTAGCTAGATTAAATGACAACACTTCTGAAACTCACTGCCATCCAGGTGATTCGGATTCATGGCGATTCTATTAGCACAGAGAATTGCCCCTACAAGGTTTCCAAGGCTGTAAATCTTTACAGAAGGAGACTGTCTCAATTTTTTCCCCCCCCGTAGGCGGCTGGTAAGTTCGATCCTCCGACCTTTTGGTCAGCAGCAGAATGCTTTAACCACAGCATCACCAGAGGTCCTTAGGCGTGTTACAAGTACTGCTTATACCATATCAGTATCCTCAAAGATATTATCCCTGAAGATACTAACTAGTAAACACTGCCAGGATATTACTAAAGGAACCCGGAGGCTTTCATTGGTGATCATTATAGGACGCTGTAAGCATTAGGGCAAAGATCTCCTACTCAAGGCGGACTCAGGGAAACCGGGGCATTTTGGACAAAAGAGACCTTGAGAATGTCACAAACATACTGGACTAAGTGAGGAGACGTGGAGAGGGCAGTACCAGTGCCAAGCACCAAAAAAACCGATACTCATTGCCTTCAAGTCGGACCCGACTCATAGCGACCCCTCCTTGGGTTTCCGAGGCAGTATCTCTACGGAAGTAGATTGCCCAACCTACCTTCCGAGAAGTGGCTGGTGGGTTTGAACCGCCAGCCTTCTGGTTAGCAGTCAAATACCACAGGCACTACGCCACCTGAGCTCCTGCCAGTGCAAAGAGAATGTGATAATAACCAGGCCAGAACGTCTGTGGCTCCCGGAAAGACCGAGGAGGGCCCACAGGGCGCAAGCAACGAGGCAGAGGTCTTGATGGGGATGGTGGCACCAAGGCAGTCCAAGAGATCAGGGTAGTGGTACCTGGGTGATGGAGTCTCCAAATAGTACCACGCGAGGCCAAAGCAATAAGCTCCCACGACTCACAGATTCGGAGAGCGCCATAGCCACCACCCGCGAGAGGCGGGGCCAGAGCGGATATCCGAGAGAGCGCTGGGGGCGGGGTGGCGTTTGGTGGTCAGTGGGGCGAGTTGCCTGGCCGCCAGCGCACTGTTGTCAGCAGTCTCTGTAGTTCTTTTATGTGCAGTGGAGGCGACCCGACTCATAGCGACCCCTCCTTGGGTTTCCCAGGCAGTATCACTACGGAAGTAGATTGCCCAACGTTCCTTCTGAGGAGTGGCTGGTGGGTTTTTCCGCCAGCTTTCTGGTTACCAGTCAAGTGCCTTAGGCACTACGCTACCAGAGCTCTGTAGTTCTAGCAGTGCACTGTTGGCGGCCGGTAAGAGATTATGCCAACCAGTCGTTTTTAAGACGTGTGATAGCTGTTTCCTCTTGGAAATCCTACTTTTTTCTTTTTTTTTGGCAGTTTACCATAAGCTTGGCCGTTCATTTCCTGAGTCATTAGGTACTGGGCTTGTACTGGCGGCTCTGCCCTCAAGAAGCTCAGTTCATCCTAGAAGGCAAGAGGCGTGTCCTGGAGGTTGGGCGAAGCCTCCCAGGCGCCTAAGTGGAAGGAAGGTCTGGCCTGGGACTTTGGAACGAGGCCACACCTTCACAGAGTCAGACCACCTGTCCAAAATGTCTCGTCCAAAGCAGTGCCTACCTTCAGCACCGAAGGTTGGACAAAGCGAAAACGTACCTACGTTTAGTAGCCTATCTGTTCATTTGCTTCTCTGCCAGTGTCATCTGTTCCCCAGATGAGAACATAGCCTGAAAGGAAAGTGATTTGGCACCATCATCAAATCCAAAATCACACATGACCTGAAAGCAATTTCTAGGAAGGGAAAAAAATTTAAAAAAAACTGTTCCCGTGTGTTCAGCAAGTGGCAATGGGAAATAAGGACCTGTGGTAGAGAAGACCTTGAAAGGAATTAATCACATAACTGTTAAATAAAATTGATTCAATCACTTCTTGAACATTTTGATCTCACCGTGCAGAGATGTGAAGACCATGATAAAACAGGTCAGAAAAGGCATCTTAAAACAACTGAACTGTTGGTTAAAACCGGAAGGGTAAGGGAAGCACTAAGTTTTAGAAAAACTGAAACGCCTTTGTGTGGCTTGAATGGTTGAAGCTGGAGCTGCAAGTAAGATAGGGCAGACCAGTTACGAGGCTTCATGCTAAAATCATCTGGGGAGCTTTAAAAATACTTACTGAGCTGCAGAACAACTCAAATAATTTCTGATGGTAGGTGTTGGACCGCAGCAAATTCTTAACGTGCCCCAGGGGAGCACGTTAAGGTGTTTGGACATTAATCCTAACCAAAATGAGGGGGCCACTAAAGGATGTTAAGCAGGGGAGGCTTGATGGCAGACTTGTATATTTTAGAAATCAACTATGGTGAGAAAAAAGAGATTATTGCAGGAATTCAGAGTGATCTGAGCCTAAATAGCACCACTGGAGGTGGAGACAAATGGAGATTGAAGAGCAATTTAAAATCTTTATGGTAACCTCAGAGGAGAGGGATTAAGAAAATGGGCACTCCCTTTTTACTGTGTATATTTCTGTATTGTTAAACTATTACAAAAAGCATGTATTGTAATTTAAAGAATGTCTTTAAGATAACAATTTTAAGTTTTAAATAATTTTAAATGTTAAAATCTTATGATACTTACTAACATTTTCAGTTAACAGAGCTTGTCATCAGATCTCAAGGAAAATGTTTTTGGGAAGGAGTGATCAACAGCTGTAAGTCACTAAGGAAAGATGGGGACTAAATTGTGTCAGTGCAATTTAGAGACATAGATAACTGCCTAGTGCGATAGTGAGTGTTGACCATTCTCAAAAAAGTTAGCTGTGAAGGTGAGGCACTAGACTGTGTTCATTCCCTTCTTGAGAGGTAACAATCAATCACCATTTTCATACTAGTAGGTTCCCAAGAATCCTTTCTGACTCATAGCAACCCCTCCTTGGGTTTCCTAGGCATTATCACTACAGAAGTAGATTGCCGAACCTTCCTTCTGAGGAATGGCTGGTGGGTTTGAACCACCAGCTTTCTGGTTAGCAGTCAAATGCCTTAGGCACTATGCCACCAGCACCCAAAGAGCCTTTAAGGTGGTGCAATGGTTAACACTGGATTACTAGCAGCAAAGTTGTTGGTTTGAACCCATACAGAGATCCCTTAGAAGATAGGCCTGGTGATTTGCTTCTGAAAGGTCACAGCCTTAAAAATGCCATGGAGCACTTATACTCTGCACACATCTAAATCAAGTTGACAGCAACCATCAACCTGCTCCCCTCAGCACACAGCAGAGTAGGCATAGGACAGGTCGTTACTTACAAATTTGTATTAAGTGGTAATACAGGAAATTGGATAAATGATTAATAATTACCTATTTCAATAATTTAACAACTGATGTTTGAATAACCTTGAACTTGAGTCATAAAAATTATATTCTAAGTATCCTTCAATTGACTGTATCGGTATAGTATAAGGAAAACATTATTAAATCAGGAAAGTCATATTTTTATGAACAAATAAATGAAGCAATTTGGTAAGTGTCAAAAGGGGGTAAAAAAAGGAGTTTAAAACCTTAAGTGATAATCTCCAATTATTAATTCAAACTTAGAGTAACAAACACAAACGCAATGCACTACTGTCGAGTCAGATCCAACTCATAGTGACCCCTCCTTGGGTTTCCAAGGCAGTATCACTACGGAAGTAGATTGCCCAACCTTCCTTCCGAGGTGTGGCTGGTGAGTTTGAACCGCCAGCCTTCTGGTTAGCAATCAAATGCCTTAGGCACTACACCACCAGAGCTCCTGCAAACCACAATGTATTTTCTTTCCTTAAAAACTACAGTAAGACAAATCCTAATTCTTTTAGGTATTAGCAAATCTTGCCAGTTTCAATGAGAGCTGCAAGTACCTGCCTGGAAGTAGAATCAGTAAGTTCTAAAATAATAGGCAGTTCAGTTTATTCTAGTTCTAGAATATAGGTAGGAGCTCTGGTGGCATAGTGCCTAAGGCATTTGACTAACCAGAAGGCTGGCAGTTCAAACCCACCAGCCACTCCTCGGAAAGAAGATGGGGCAATTTACTTCCGTAGTGATACCGCCTTGGAAACCCAAGGAGGGGTCGATATGAGTCGGATCCGACTCAACGGCAGTGAGATTGAGGAGAATAATGAGTAACTTTGATGGTAACTTAACAGTATTCAAGCTATTGGAATAAAAGCCATTTAATGTCCAAAGAGAGACCATTGGTGGCTCAGTGCTAGAATTCTACCTTACACACCAGGGACCTGGCTCTATTCCCAGCCAATAAACCTCACATGTAGCCGCCACCTGTCTATCAGTGGAGGCTTTTGTGTTGCTGTGATGCTGAACAGGTTTCAGCATAGCTTTGAGGTTAAGATGGAATAGTAAGAAAGGCCTAGCAATCTACTTCAGAAAAAAAAAAAAAAATCAGACAAGGAAAACCCTATGGATCCCAATGGTCTCATGTCATTGTGCATGGGGTTGCAATGGGTTGAGGACTGACTTCATGGCAGCTTATAGCAGCAATGTCAAAAGTAAGTAGGCTACCCCAGATAATCTAATGTATTTTAAGTAACAGAAGTACAGTCAACCATTTAAAAAAAGATTTAATGTATATGTAGATAGAAGGTAATCAATGAACTGGTGTAAGGGCCTCATAGAGTCTTTGTGCAGCCAGTTCCACCATTTCTCGGAGGGATTCATCATCTTCACTTCCTTCTTCACATTCTACAGTCTGAAAGTGAAAGCACAAATATGCCTTTCAATTTAAGAGTCTAGAACTATTATACATAAGATCAATTAATACTCATTAAGAAAAAAAAAAAAAATCCCATAGAGGTGAAGATCAAAGTAGGACTGCTTATCAAGATACAGCATAGCTGCACTGCACACTTGTGAGCAGACAACCTGTATGCACAGAGATTGTTGGCAGGCCTGCTTAGAAACATACTGACCACAATGGATGGGTATAATCAGAGAGAAATTTCTTGGGGGGTGGGGGAGGCAAAGTCCAGTGAACTACATACATTTACTTCAAAGCCTGTATTTTGACCTAGTAAATGTCACACCAAGGAATTCAACCTCTTGTTGTTAAGTGCCATCAAGTCGTTTCTGACTCATAGCAACCCCATGCACAGCAGAACGAAACATTGCCCGATCCCATGCCAGCTCCATGAAACCTGCTATACTTGAGCCTATCATCGCAGCCACCATGTCAATCCAACTTGTTGAAGGCCTTCCCCTCTTTTGACGACCCTCCACCCTACCAAGCATGACAACCTTCTCCAGGCAATGGTCCCTTCTGACAACATGACCAAAGTAGGTGACACCAAGTCTGGCCATTCTTGCTTCCAAGGAGCATTTCGGGTGCACTTCCTCCAGGACAGATCTGTTAGTTATTTTAGCAGTCCATGGTACTTTCAGCATTCTTCGCCAGCACCACAACTCAAAAGCATCAACTCTTCTCTGGTCTTCCTTATTCATTGTCCAGCTCTCAC